TCCCTGCATTGTTCTTAAGTCTCGCTGTTGCGTTTCCTCATTATTTGCACATTGAATGTTTGACCTTTTACTGCTGCTACCCCTTAATAGTTTTCATATTACCGTGAAGTGGACGAGAAACTTTCTGTTTGGTATCACTGACTCGTTCTTGTCACAGTACCCTGTCCTCCTGATTCAGACCCACAGCTAGTTCCTTAGCAACCAGCTGAAATCTTTTGACCCTGTTGCACATTAAAGCCCCTCACTCTCCTAATTTAAAGACAAAGTTAGGACAAATATAGATGAGGATGACATCTTGTTAGGTCTTCTTTATTAGAGCTGTGTCACTATCTCGTGATAAACTTGTGATCTTACTGGGCTATTATCTGCTAACTTCTCTTACTCAGTAGGTTGCATGTTATAAGTGCCTATAAAAAAAATTAAAACAAGATCTCTGACTAAGAACACGAGCATGTGTGTGAGCAGTTAATATGCTCTACATATCAGTCTGTTAAATGAGTTCATGTTAGATATCACTTGTGGAACACAAAAACTCATTCTTCTTTTAAATACAATCACATGTTTGTTTTTTCCCATACAAAGACCAATATTCAGATTCACCACATGGTTAAACCTTTCAGATCCAGTTTTGATGTCCACATATGGATTGATCCCTTGGGGGACTTCTGTCACTGGTTCACATTTTCAAACGCAATGTCTGCACATTAATAATTTTGTCAGGGAGAGAACTTCAAAGTTGCAGTTTGTTTATGTGTGCACATGCAAAACACAAACTAATCCTGGAGAGTGAGGAGAACACTTTGTGTAATCAGAAACATAAATATGTTGGCTTTCTTTTCTGTTGAGTCATTGACTAGAAAGGTTCAAATGAAAAATGGGGGCGCTGCTCATTATTCACTTTGCTTTCTCTTTGTATGATGTTCCTGTGCAATAGACCAACCCTGACCTGAGTCACGTCTCAGTGTTTTTATCCTCACTTTCCTCCTTCATGTTGTCTGGCTGGCTTTGATCCAAGATAATTGGGCTGTGCAGCATATACTGCTGGAGACTGCTTAGTCTCTTGGCGGATAAATACACCTCAACATGGAGAGGGGGCATCTTTTTCAAAAGGATGAAGTTTACAGGCATCTCCAGATGAATTTTAAAGGAATCAATCATGCTGATTTCAAACTCCTCAGTGCGGAAGCAGTAAGTAACGTTGTTATTCCGCAAAGTTTTTGTCATTTTCTGCTAATTTAAAGGATTTTTTATCAGGTTTTAGAATATTAAACGCTATGATACCAACCTTACTTTGGTTTATTATCCTGCAACACTAATGGCACTGCCATCAGATTCAGCTGTACCTTGTGTTAAACTAGAATGGTGAACATAATTGCATTGCAATAGCGAGCATGTTAGTATTTAGCTCAAAGCACTGCTATGCCTAAGTACAGCCCGCATAGACGCTACGTGGCAGTGAATAGTTTTCTCTCAACCATTTGAACTAGTTATACAAGCTTATTTAGATAATATAATTGGCATAATCCATTGCACTTTAACTTTGATAACAATATCAGATTGTTTTATCAAGTGAGAATTACATGAAAAATTCCATTATGTGGGATTCCTGATGCTGAACTTGCTCATCACTGTTGCCTGAGAGTGTGAGTCACCTGACACAGTGACTATTAGGACCTGTGGTTCTGCACCATGCAGAAAACAGGACACTCATCTCTGTGCCAGCGCTACTCAGCCTGTGAAAATTGTTGCATGGAGTTTTGTTAAGTCACACAAGTGAAGTAACATTACTCAGGTGTCTCAGCTCGGTGGCTATGTGGAGACACATTTCTAAGAAGTACAATGATACAAACTGGGGCGTGGAGTTTGAAAGACACTGTGGGTATTTTCAAGTCTGGGAGTGGAGACTGAGGGAAGTGTAGGATCCAGTGTTTTTTGGAGCTTTACTCATATTAGTAATTTAAAAAATTTAAAAAAGTTTGACCGTTCTTTTTAAAATTTGTTTTATGGGTCACCCAACTTTATGAAAGTGCAATACTAAATCACTTTACTCTTTCAAGAGTGAATTCTTGTCATTCTCATAACACAGTGTACCTTTTTGTGGTATACACAGGTTTTTGATTTGGTTTTCCTTCAGCTCCTCCTTCAGTGGAACCGTCTTCCACTGTTCCTGTGCAGCGTGTAACACAAACACAACAAACCAAATGTCTATTTTCTATTTTCTGTTTCAGGGTTGTTCCGCTTGCCTCTTGCAGCTCTGCAACTCTGCCAAGTGCTGCAAGTCTATATTTTGCCCAGACCGAAAAACAATCCTTTTTTTTCTTTTTTTCTTTTTTTCTTTTTTAAACCCAGCTTTTAGGAGAAGAAATCCTGCTCAGCGAGTGTGGCAGTGGAAATATTCAGTACCAAAATGTGTACGAGACTGGAAAGGAACATATTTCATTGCAGGTTACTGATTAACCACAGTAATCCATTACGGTTGAACTGTCCTACCTAGATCCTCTAAAATCCATAAAAGCTGCATTCAGTTATATCATCTCTAATATACAGATATGTAGTGCTGTAATCACCACCTGAAATCACTAAACTGTTTAATGATTTTGCATGCAATAGGATGTGACAAACATAGGCTATACAGATGTTTGACAGATATCCCCTAATTTTAATGCAACTGAAGTCCTGTTTATTCCAAAGGTATCTGCATCAAATATGATCAAAACATAATCCTCTCAACCTTGTGTGTTGTTCTGGATCATGAAATAGTGTTTACTCTTACACAATCAAGCACTACCGGTCTTACAAGTTCACTCTACCAGGTAAGAGAGCAGGAAGGACACAGTCTTCTACCATCTCACCCCCATCAGCTCCACTCCCTACTGACAGAACCACTGACCTCCTGGGACAAACTCATTATCCTCTGTTGTTTGTCTTTCACCGACCAACCCTTTCGTCCTCCCTATTTTCTGCCTTCTCTTTCTTAAAAACCGTGACTTGTACACTAAAGGACTTGGCATGCCAACCTTCTGCTATTATGCCTGCCAGTCCTCACACACCCTGTTCTAATCTGAACAGAAGAAATTCTAGTTGTTTGTCGGCCTGGTTGGTTACACCAGTCAAACTCAGTATAAATGCCTATATGTAAGCTTCTCTCTGTGTCTGCTTTTCCCTTCTTGTAAAACATAAAAAAGTAGTGGCCGTTTTGGATTTCTAAAGTTCTATAAATATGGTGAAAAGACTGTTTCAGTGGCTATCAACACGCCAGCTGTGTTTCATTCAATTAGGCACATCCTTATCCTTCCATGCCACGCAGGAAGACAGCCTGTATCTCTCTGATACAGAGACACATGCATGACAATTTGGCAGACTTACTTCTGAGGTGCCCACTTTGTCCAGACAGAGCACAGAGGCTCCGTTGTCCCACCCCAAGGACGGAGTGGCGGACTGTGCATCAGTAATAAGCCCAAACACAATGACAGGTTTCACAGACATAGAGCCGAGGCTTTGAATCAACAGAGGATACATTCCCTCATTTAATAAGTGAGCCTCTCCCAACATACTGCACTGTGAGTGAGGGGCTCCTTTGGTATGAAGTCACAGTACACCATGTGAGTTAGGAAAGTCATAATGTACACCGCAAGCCATTCATAATGTGAAAAAATGACCATTGTACGAGAATATATTAATACGGTTTGACAGATTGGAGCTATTTTCTATTAAGTTTCCTATGGACTGAAAATGAAACTATATAGAAAATCTAATGTTATAATAAGAAATGTCTATAATAATATGATTAAATTATTTAAAAAATATGTTTAACATCAATATAGTAATTTCTTGGCCAGAAGAGCTAACTTGGAGTCTCTCATTGGTTGCCTGGCAACTGCTCAGTTATTGTTTTAATACTTTGTTTTCTGTATTAATTTAACAAACAAGATACAGTTAACTAATTAGTGAGCATAGGGTGTGCTGGTCTTTGTGCTAAGCTAACCTGCTGCTGCTGGCTGTAGCTTTACATTTAATGGACAGACGAATTCAATCTCCTGCCAGGAAGTGAATACAGGTATTTACAAAAATGTCGAACTTTTACCTAAAACCTTGTCAATGTATTATTTTGGCTGCACCGGGGGCCAGTAGAACCAGCTGCTTGCCAGTACACACTTCACGCAGACATGTAGCGACATTAGTGAACATTTGTAGTCGGTTTTTGCTCTGTTTTAGTCTCTATGAACTCTGTGAACTGAGGGAAATATCTATTCTACCTCTTTAGCTGCTAAATGATCCACTATGTCAGTAGTTCCCTAACTTTTTTCCTGAAGGACCTCTTTTCTATCATTTAGTAAACTGACAACCCCTGACTAAGTGACATATTTCATTGATATTTCCTATTATATTCAATGCATAACAATAACAACAGATAAACTGTACAATGGACCCAAATAATGAACACAATAACTGCAAGATGTTTGTGTAAAACGAGCCATTTGGATAAAAATTGATCAGTTTTCCTGATATTTTTAGGAACTTTTTAAACAATTTTCTGTATTATCTATTTTAAACTTTTTTAACAAACATACATACTACCTAAGCGAACAATTTTAATTTAGTCTACTTCACAGAAAATAACGAAATGCTGAGATATTGGCTTTTGATTTAAACATTTTCTCAAACCCTTTAAAATCAAGAAGGCCTGGTGACCCCTCCTGAAGCTTTGGCGACCCCTAGTGGGGGGGTCCTGACCCCAGGTTGGGAACCACTGCACTACTACTACACAGGTAGTTTGCCAGGTGTTGTATAGTAGATTAGTTTGAGCTTTTTTGGCTACCATACTGCTGGAGGTGGTGCTGATATCAGTGATGCCATTAAAAAAAAAAAACAGTAAATTCACTCAAAATATTAACTGCGTTGATGATCTAAAGTATGATATTGCTATCTACCACCATCACCCTCATCACCCCTCATCTATTCATCTCTTCCAGGGCTCAGGTCAGTGCAGAGCCCTCGGTGCGCCCGGCGTGCGCCGCCTGTCCTTTAAATTCATTTATCTCTCGGATTTTTTTTTTTTTTTTTTAAACTCCATCTTAAACACGGAAGTCGGTGTGACGCACCAGTACACACAGCTGCTCAGCGGGGGCAATGCAATAAACACAACGTCGTCCTTCGGTGCCGAACACAGCGGTGAGTGTCTTCTTGTATGTGTTAGATGGATTATGGAGCCACTTTTGGTCCAATGCAGCTATGCGTCCGTCCGCACTGAGGCTCCTCTGTCTCCGCTGCGTCTTTCGCGTTATTAAATCCAACCTTAGGCGGCTGACGGTCGGTCGGACGGACGTCTGGACCGTGCTGGGATGTGAATGTGTGAGAATTTGGCTTTTTTTTTTAATTGGCTGCTGTAGAGGCGAGAATTGGTCCCCCCCCCTCACCCCTCACCCCCCACAGCGACGGTCACCGTAGCCGGTTGTGGTTTTAAGGTATGGACGTTCAGTTGAATGCAGCAGAAAATCAGCAGCGCGTTTTGTGTCAGCAGATTGCTTGCTGTTTTTAATTAATCTATTGCTCGGGTTTGCTCATTCAGTATCATATATGCGTGTGTGTGTGTGTGTGTGGTGTGTGTTGTGTGGTGTTGTGTGTGTGTGTGGGAGAGAGAGACTCAAGAGGAGGCTAATGTTGACTGTGTCCGACAAGCCTTTGTTAGTTTCCCCTACGCCTTTTTGTAGCGCTCGGTTTGCGGTGGAATAATTATTATAGGGACACCAGGTCATGAAAATATGAGTGGTTGCATTCAGTTGAACTATCAAACGATTCTTTCCATCCTTGCTGTCTTTTATTTGATTTGAATGAAGATCGTGGGTCACAGTGCGATGTAGCAGCTGGTCTCTTCCCCCTTTTTGAGTTGACCACACTGGATCGATATCGATTGCTATGTTAATGCATAGACAGATACAGATGTGATCTCAGCAGCTTCCTTTGTCTCACAGAAGCATTTGCTGTAGACTTTAGGTCTGAGGCGCACTGTCCGGCCGGATGTCCCCTTATTATGAACCATAATAAAGCCAGAGTATAGTCCCTTGCTGCACTTCCACAGCCTACAGCTGCCTAAAGACACATCAAACTGTGATTCTAGTTTCATATCCAATGCCGCAATTAGATTAAACTGTGAGGTTTGTACCTTTGTCTGCCATCAGTACTGATAATCAGTTAATTGTTACAGGGGCTCTCTGGTTACACTCTGCCTCCTCATTGGCTGCAAGATCAGCTTTCCTCTGTTTGTGCCACCTTACTCTCCAGTGCTGTGCCATGGTGCCTAGCAGCTGCAGCTTGTTTTAATCATTTTCTTTTTTAAAGACATAGCAAAGTGCTGCACTCTACAGCTTTCTGTTCTCACTTCCAACCCATAGATTGCTGGCTGTGGTTTTTATTTTCTTTCCAGTAGGAGGGAAAACCTTCAACTCGTCTTCATTCCAAGGTGACAAGTCCTGGCTTTGCGTCAAAGGCAGCTCCTTAAAATACCATCTTTACCATGATGCGTGCTCCAGTGTGGTGTTCAGCTTACCAGCAGGGCGAGAGAGCAGCTGTATCCGTCTGTGTGCGTTACATCACCGCAGCCTTCGGTTATGTCTTCGCTGGTGTTGTGAAATACTGAGGACTTGTTGCGATAAGAAGCCTCATTGTCCCATTGGTATCTGTGGAGTGTGCATGCATAAACGTGCAGATAACACAATGCTTATTCTCTCTGTTGTGCTGCTGCGTAACTAATCTCGCCTCCTCTCATGGGATTACTGCATATAGATTGGCTTCTTTTCCACACAAACACTGTTCAATTTTCTGACACAGTTGAGCGTTTGAGAAATGGGGACGGACAGTGGCCTTTTTGTAGGCGAGCAGTCGGAGCTCTTATCTTAGTTTTCGAACTTGAGTTGAACAAAAGAAACATCTTGACTTTGATAAAGGAGTAGTTGGCAACGCTTTTAATCTACGTTACAGAAAAAATAAAAAAGCAAAAAGGAGAAGTCAGCCTTTTATCCGTTCCAACTTGTCAAAGTTTTCATGATGAGTGCTTAGATACTTTATATTATTAGTTAAATTACAGGAATGATATCAAATGTTCAAGGTTGGAAGTGCTTTTTCTTCATAGACAGTATATCAAGTGACTCACATTTATTCTCAGTCAAGATGGGAAGGAAAAGTGCTATATCCAGGTGTCTTTCTTCCAAAGGTTTGATTGCACATGCACCAACTTTGTTATTTGCAGCATAAAATCCTCTCATATGACCACATCATACACTTCCAACAGTCTGCTTCTCTCTTCCTGGCCCTGGTCCTCCTTCATGACCGGGCCGACTGTGTGCCCGCTGACAAAGAGGGATTTTGGTGGTATCAACAAGCATTCTGCCGTGATGAGAAATCTCATCTCTTCCAGACCTTGAGCTCCCTGAGCTGTCAACCGACTCTGAAGTCGTCAGTCGTCCTGACAGGACCGAGTGCAGGGAGAAATGAGAAAGTAAAGCCGTGATTATGTATTCAAACAGGAGGAAGAGGGCGACTGAGACTGCCTGTGAAGCTGCTGAAACTGCGAGCGAAGGAGGCTGCAGTCCTAATGGACTGTGTTATTGTATGCTTGCAAATTAACTCATACTTTCTGCCTTCAGAGATAGCTTCTGAGGAAAAGTAATTGGAGGGTGGAAAGAATGCAATCAAAAGTATGTGAAGGCTCCGATAGTAGCTTTCTGCCAATTAACTGTCGTCATTGTTTGACACAATTGGTTGTGATGGTGAAATGTTCCTCCCACTCTACTCTACAATATGGAGGAGCAGATGGGTTTGACAGCCCCTATTGTGCTATTCTATAGTGGTTTCAATCAAATTCAATTTCACAACAGCCAAAAACTTTTTAGTTCTGGTTCACCCACTTAGTCCACATTATTGTCTTGGTTAATTAGTTTAACTGTACAACAGCTGATGCCTGTTCTTACTAATAACATACTGCATGTTATAAAGACCATGGAGCAATTTTTGTAGGTGGTGTTTTCTCTGCGCCTGTTCCGTAATCGGGCTGCAGCTAATAATTAGGACCCTTCATCGATTAATCTGTCAGTTATTGTCTCGACTAATTGCTCGGTCTATGAAATGTCAAACGGAAATTACAATCTATCCGTCATAGAAGACAAAGCAGCTGCAACAAGTGAATTTTTGGCATTTTTTCTTGAAAAACTATAAATTTTCTGTCAATTAAATAATCAATTAAATGTCTAGGTGTGTCAGTTATACCTTCATTTTTTTTAAATTGCGAATTGATTTGAAAGAATGAGGTTAATCTGAAACACTAATGGATTTTTGTAACATTGAAGTAACTACATTATCCTTATCAACAAGAAAATTGAACATGCTCTCTCTCTCCATTTCACACACACACACACTTCCTTTTTTTCAGTATTTCTTGTGTATTAGGGGGATGTGATCATGTTCCAGTTAACCACACCACTTGTGATAAGCGCTCTACCAACTAAACAGCTTTTTTCTTTAGTCTTACAGTTTAAATTCTATTTTTAATACTAATTTTTAATTTCAAAATGGCACTTGCAGACATGGTTCTCTGATTCACACTGCATCTCCGTCAGCTGCTGACGCCCTCTGTCTCCTCACTCTGGTGGTTTATCTGTAAAATTATATTGATTGCGTTCTGCAGAAACAGGAAATGTATCCAGCCAACAAAACCCAGTCTTCATACGTATCCTGTCGCCTGTCCACAGGCCCATGTGCTTGCATTTTTCAGGATGTGGTATTTCCTGGACTCCTGTGACTGTGGGGAAGTAATGATAATGTTAGTTATTAGCTCTCTTTACTAGACTTCCAGCTTAGCAAGTTTTACTTTTTTAATTGATCTTCGGCTGAACTAATTAAAAGTATATTAACAAAATTGCCACCATATGGCAGCTGCAGTCGAGTGCTGTGTAGACTCCGTGCATCTGTCCCACACTGCTATCTGATCCTGGAACATAATCGTATGAATACGTCCCCTGCTAGTTTTGTTGTATCAGCGTCTGGCTGGGCTGTAATGTAATAAGGTAATAAAGGTATCATACGGTGTCGTTTCTCTTTGCTTCCCCTGCACTAACTCAATCCTGGCCTCCACTGCTACTGTGTCCCACTGTGGCAGCTCTTCTTCTGTAGGGAATAGAGTATTGATCCAATCTAATGACTTCCTCCTATGGATGATATCATACACCCATGTGAATTAAACCTCACTGGAGTACTGCTAATGCTACTGCTACTGGTTATTGGACAACAGGACAGTGTTTATATTGATATTTCAAACCTACAGAGTGTGTGTGTGTGTGTGTGTGTGTGTGGTGTGTGTGGTGTGTGCTGTGTGCCGCTGTGCTGTGTGTGTGCTGTGTGTGTGTGTGTGTGTGTGTGTGTTGTGTGGTGTGTGTGTGTGTGTTGTGTGTGTGTGTGTGTGTTGCACGGGTGCAATGAAATTGTGATGTACGGGCTGAAGAGGGGGAGTGCTCAACAGCTGCTATACATCAGCCGAGCAGAGGTGCTGGCTCAGCTGAACGGACTGTGGGATGGCACTGCTGCAGGTAGTGGGCTATGGTTGATGATGTCATTAGGGCTTTCACGGCCTCTCAGGGTTTCTGTCAGCTCATGGCAACGAATCAAGAAGAGGGTGTGGGGAAGGAGACACAATACTGTGTGTTACTGTAGCCAGAACCAACATGGCTGCAGATATCCTGTTTGAGGTCTTACTATCAGCAGTGTTGATAGCTTCTATAGCAGAATGATTCGATGGTGTGGAAATAGGCATCAAAATGGTCCGCATTAAGAACAGATGCTCTGTGTATTTCATTTCAACTGAATGCTTTGTCTTTCCACAGTTGCAGTGTGACTACAGTATGTTTGGATGTTCTATAGTCACTCACACTTATTCAGACTGGTTGCATTATTTGATGTTAAAGCTTTGTGAGCATCAATCAAAGGGAACCTAGAAAAACATGCAGCCTTTTTACTTCAATAAAAGAAAGTTGAATCTGTTTAATTAAGAAGAGTTTATAATTCCTAGCATGTTGAACTTAACTGTTTTCATGAACTTTGATTCAGAAGAGTAAAGCTTATTGATGCTCAGTTTTTAAACTAATGCACTATACTGCATAACTATTTTTTTGACAGCACATCAT